AGGAGGGAGCAGCAGAGCCAAAGCAGTACGGACTGACTACAACCCTCATTCCCCATGCCCCTGCATCACTTAGGGGAAGAAAGTCGAAGAGTCAGAAGTGAAGCTGAGCCTGGGAAGAAACAGGGGCTTAGGGGGAGGTGGTTTTAGTTTTGTTTTAGTTCTCATTATCCCTCTCTGTTATTAATTGGCAAGAAATTAAATTAATCTTCCTGAAGTCAAGTCTGGTGTGCCTGTGATGGTAATTAGTGATTTTTACTAATTACCCTCCCTGCCCTTATCTCAACCCATGAGTTTTTTCACCATATTTTCTCCCCCTACTCTACTGAGGAGCAGAAGCAACAGCACAGTTGACTGGGCACCTGGCAGCCAACCAAGGTTAACCCGCCACACTGTGGTACAACTACAAAATGCAAAATTATGTAAATAAACTCTTAGACAAGACGGAAGTGGTCTGACTTCTAAAAGTCTTCTCCAGCAGTTGCTGTACCCAAAGAGCTGAGCCACATCAAAAGCTTCTATCAACAAGATATAAGGCTTGATATGAAATAAAGTTCCTTTCACTTTTTTGTCTTAGGGCCTGTTCATATCATTTGGGAGTTCAGATGTTTGCAGCGAGCTTAAGAACACCTGTGTAGAAATGCATTTAGCAAATGCTGCTTCTTTGAGTATAGACCATCCCTGCAGTTGAAACACACTGCCCTGTTTGAAATGCACCTCAGCACACTGGGTCGAGGGCAGGCTCAGCTGGCTGGGGAGAATCAGATGCACCAGCATGGACTGCAGTTCACAGTCCTATATACAGACAGTCTTCTGCAATTTCTCCTCCATCTCATTTTTGCTTCATTTGTCCCTATCTTAACTCTGTTAACGCAAACTCCAGTCTACCTGAACTTCTCCTCAGACCTGGGATTTCCATTTTCTGTTCAGACTTCTAAAGCTATTGCCTAGAGTCTTCAGAGTTTTCTCAAGTTTCTGCCCAGTAAGAGACAATGCTGTACCTGGTGTGACATGGTCTAGAAGATAGAACAACCCCTATTAAAAAAAAAAGCTTTCATTTTGCCAACTAGGCCTATAAACTCATATTTTTAGCAATCTCTGACCCCTTATGTTTTTTTTATTTAATAACAGCGCCATTTTAACTTAACCCTTGCAATACATTCACAGGTTCAGAAAGGGATAGTTTTCAAGAGTACTCAAACTTTCAAAGAGCAAGACTAGGTGACATTGTTATATCTGATTTAACTAGCACCAACCTTTTCTCAGCAAATACTCACGCATGGTCTTTCCTCTACAGATCCAGTTTCTGCTCACTATTGTGCACACACTCAGCGCAGCTGTGAAGCCATGTGGATTCCCATTTGGCTGCCTCATGTTCCAGTCCTCCTACATGGCCACACTGGTCATTCTCTTCATAAACTTCTACATTAAGGTAAGTAGTCTTCCAAGAGCTCTCTGACAAGGATGGGGAATAAAGAACTTTTTCGATAGCAGTCTTGACTTCACAGGTAGAATGAGCATCAGCACTTCAAATATGTTTGTATTAAAATATATATGTCAGTTAAGAATGATAGATACAGTAACATCTTCAAGAGACAGTTATTCAGTAACAATGACCTCCCCATTACAGCTCAGCTCTTATGCACTTGTATAGCAAGTCAGGTACCACATTCAGGACTTAGGAGGTCTGAATTCGCTCTGTTGGGCAGCTTTGAGTCTTCTTCCCTCCTTAGAAAAAAGAAACAAGCAGCTCTGTCTTTGCATTGTTTATTTCAACCTTTTTTAGCAGGGGCAGCTCCAGCCTGCCTGCATGCATAGAGCTTCTAGTGAAAAGGGCTTTTGACATCAAGAAGTATTACAGTAATACTAGTAAAGTAATATCACACTGCACTGAAAATAATACAGCCCTTAACACAGTCTGAAGCAAATATACACATCTGCATCAACAAACACCAGGTAGCTCCATTTTACAGTTAACCATAAGTAGTACTTGGGGGGCACTAAGTAAATCCAAGTATTTACTTTGGATTTTGCTTTTATAGACATACCGGAAAGTACCTTCCAGAACAACTATAAAGGAAACCCCTGTCACAACAGAAATCAAGAACGGTTTCCATAAGGACTACTTTGCTGCTGCCAATGGATTCCTGAACAATAAGAAAGCACAATAAGTGTAGTATTTCCTATGTTTTTTTTTTTTTCTAAAAAAAAAAAAGAAGAAAAACAACTGAATTACAGCTTTAGCATAAAACCTGTTTGATTACATTTATCAATTCTTTGTACCAGACACTTGTTAGTGTACTGCTATTTAGGTTTTAACAAAACAAGTAGAATTACTTGTCCTGTCAAAGATCACCATTGGAACAAAGAAGGCCAAGATCTTTCTCACAAGAAAAAGAAAACCTTTCTGATATCTAATGCTGACACAAAAACGCCTTATAAAACGCTTGATGGATAAATCCATCAATGCCTTCAAAAGGTTAGGACTCTGTTCAGACTAACACGGTGAGCACTTTCTGTGCATGCAAGAGGTCTTCAGGCAAGGCTTCACGGTGCACCCAACACATTCAGCTAAGCTGTGGCCAAGGTCAGGAAAAGGAAGGGAGGGAGAAGGTGAGAATCATACCTTTTCCATCACCATACCCCTCTCTCCTTCTTCCCAGCCGTTCCCCAAAGCACACTCCCTCCTGTGAACACCAGCAAGGTACAGCCATCCCTTTGGTCCTGTGGGAGCCCTGGGGAAGGACGTAACAGAGGGCAGAGCCCAGGTGCACCATCCCGTAGTTTGCAAACAGACATGCGCCGTGCTCACTTGCTTTACGTCCATGCAACCTGACTCAAATGCCATGAAGGCTGGCAGCAGCCTGCTATTTAAGGGGGCTGGGCTGGTAGCACCTGGGACTGCCCAGTATGGTATTTAGAATATGTGATATCACATGATGATATGGGTTTTGAGCTCTAGTCAGAGCAAAACAAGTCACTTGGGATGTGCTAAATTAATAGGAGTTCTGAGTAAATGGATTGTGAAAGAAATCGGAGCTCAACAACTTAATGAAGATAAATCCTGTGAGCGTAAATGTGCACAAAGTTAATCCTATACCAACACTGCTAATTTGAAGCAAACTGACATGCCACATATGGACATGGTTTAGTGGTGGACTTGGCAGTGATAGGGTAACAGTTGGACTTGATCTTAAGGGTCTTTTCCAACCTTAACGATTCTATGATTCTATATTAATAGACTAGACGACACAGAAAATCTTAAAAGTGAATTCAGCAATGAGCAAATCACATTATATAGGAATTTCCGTGCTAGGTGGGCCTTATTCAGACTGGTCTCTGACTGGAGAAATAGATGAGACTGAGGCACGATCCACTGTAAGGAAAACAAGGAGATATTTGCTGTCTGCAGCTGTAACGGTGTCTCTCACAACAGCCAGTCGCCATCTTCTCTGCTTCAGTTAGCTCTATTTACCTCCCACGTAAATAATGATTAGAAATGAAGAATACCCAAGGTTAGCTTTGGGGATCTGCCCTCGCCCTTTTCTCATTTAGCCCACTTCAAAATCTCTACTAAAAGTGGACACGGCCTTTTTCCTCTCCCTTTTTCCCAGTCAAGTACTTCTGGTCTCTTCTAATCTGGCATGTATAAATTCTCTCAACAAAAACACTTTTTGGAGTCTTCCCAGCCCAGCAAGCCCCCAGACCTGAGCAGTTCTGTAAAGGGACCATGTCCTCTCCCTCCTGTCACCCCATGGGGTCCCAGGGCAGGAAGGGGACAAACCACATGTGCAGCCAGCACAGAGGGACCAAGCAGCTTTGGAAGGAGGAGGCTATCCCAGATCCTGCTCTCTTCCAACTCTTTTCCACCTCCCGGGTCAGTTATCCCCTCTAGATGGTCTGTCATCAGGGGGGTCTTGGAGACTGCAGGTGCAAGGCAGGAAGGTTTGTCCCAGGGAGCGGTGTGGGCACAGGGCAGCCAGCCTGGCTGGGAGCAGCCTGAGAGACTGTGACCACGAGGGCTCGTGGATGGGAAGGGAAGGGGCCGAGGACGTGGTACAGGATGGGGGAAGACCAGACTGTTTTGTCCAGCAAAAGCAAGAGGAGAAAGTGGCACGGAGAAGGGTATCTCAGGTCAGAGTTCAGTTTAAATTTGTGCTTGAAAGTCCCATTGGATCCCATCTGTCTCCAGCCAGTTCCTCCTCTGTTACAACATTTCTGCTCCAGCAGAAAACAGAAATCCCCACAATACTGCAGTAGAGGCAGTACATTTGAGCAGTCTGGCTGCTAAACTGCATCATCATGAACTGGGTAACCAAAATAACTGCAATATTCAAACACTTCTGACAAGAGAGCACGCAAGGCAACTAGCTGAACCATTCATCTAAGGCAGGCAACAAATTGGTCTTGTGGCTCAATGTGGACTTTAGGCTGAACAGATTCCATAACCTTTTGATATCAAAGCATACATTTGACTATCGAGGTGGACGATGTCAGCACGCTAAGTGTTAAAGTTTACTACGGCAACCAAACCCACAGATATTATCTTTTGTTTTGCTGAAACCTCATTCAAAAGAAAAAGAAATAAATAAATGCCTTACTTGAAACTCAAAGGGCTGGGGCGGGGGAGAAGGAAAAAACCGAGATGATCTCACCTTACAGATCCAGACTGGCCAGGAAGGCTGGAATCAGGTATGTTTTAAATTCTTCAGATCTGTTTTAACATCTTCAGAATGCTGCAACTTTGAAGAAAAAGAAGCGTTGACTTTTTAAACTGATTTTCCTGTAACACGTAACACTAAATAAACAAATTTTACTATCAGACTGTCTCCACTCTCCTTTAAGGCATCAAATTGCTGGGAAGTGGCTATGTGAGACCACTTCTGTTGTGAAACTTTTTCAGAAAGCTCTTAGGACGTTCACCTCAGACTGAGAAACAACTTTACACACCAACTCCCTGCACACCGATATAAAGCTCCCCTGTGTTTTTGGTACAACTGTTGGCTGTGCTCTGCCCTCCTCATTGACTGGGCAGGTGGTATTTCTGCATATCACGCACACACGCACTGCTTAGGTTAATAGGAAACAGTTTTCTACAGTGTACAGACACAGCACATTTACACTTTCTACTTGAGATACCTTTCTTTGGTAGACTGAACATCCCTGTCCCTCCGAGGCAGTCCTGCTTCTTAACAGTGGCTCTACAGGCATTGTAGGCTCCTGCCTTTGCTCCTGGGTTTTATTTCAGATGCACAAAGTAGATGATGTGAATATCTCCTACTCAGTTTGCCTTTTCCAGCAGAGACAAAAACACTTTTAGCTCAAACTTCAGTCCAGACTTGTTAAAATTGTCCTGTGTGGTTCTGCTGCCTCCCCATTCCCAGGCTCTCTTGCCTTACGGATTTAGGCTGGTGAGATCCTTTTGATTCATCTATTGTAAATGGGTAAAAAGCGCAGTCTCTACTTTTTTCAAACTGTTACAAAATTTCCAAACACTGCACGGAAGGAAGCCATTGCATCCCACTCATTAGTTTAACTGAGTCTGACTCCTAGTTTTTATTCACATTTAATTTAATGCACTCTGTAGTGCCCCACATACACCACCAAAAGCATCTCTTGATTTTGCTGTGCACAACAGTGTGAGGGCACAGTGAAACCTAACTGGAGCATCACAGTTGAGACATAGTGGAGATACAACATAGAGAACATTCACTCTCCACCCAAACATGCCTAGCTGCGGCGAGTGACCTGGTTTACCCATTATTTGCCAAGATGCGGAATCTTGTCAGTCAGTCCAGACTTCCTTACTGGCAATGGAGCTTCTTGTGCCTACTGTTTCTGTTATATAAAGGCTTTAAACTATCTCATTTAGGAGTTCTACCTGACAAAAATAAGTAAATAAATCGGCAGCCAACACAGCTTAGAAAGAAATATGTGAATTCACAGCAAATCCTGTGCAGACTTGGCAGCTATAAGAGGCTTTTAATTGACACGTCTCCTGAAAGATGGAAGACATAGGGTTTAGTTTGTTTCACCAAAGAGGAGAATAGAAATCAGGCTTCTCCACATGCCACGCGAGTGAGCGACTCACTTGGGCAGCAAGAAAAATAAAAGCATGATACAGCAACTTTCCCCTTCACAAAAAGGATCCCACTGAAAAAGTGTTTCTGGATTGAACTGTTCGGTTTGCCAATAGTTTCCAGTCCATCAAATGCAGTAACCGCATGCAGAAGAATCCTTGACACCTGGCTCTAGCCACTAAGGGAAACCTGGAAAGCATTAAGATATTGAAATGGATGACATTAAAGCAGAGATGCTCCATGGTTACCGTGCTCACTCTCAAATGGGCAGTGAGTCTTGCTTCTCTCACGGTCAAACAGTCATAAAAAACAATCTCAAACTTAGCTAGAGCAGTTCTGAGTGCTGCTGTAAAGCCCTGTACTGGATGTTAACACGCAGAGACGGTGTCTAGCACCATGGATGGAAGAAGCTGGTGTTATTCTTGGAAAAAGATAAGAGCTGTAACAGCTGATAGCGGCAAAGAGGATCCAGTCTGAAAGCTGCTCCTACCAATGTATAGACTGAGAAGGGATTCTGGCAACTACGTATTCACGAGGCACTTCAAGCTATATTCATGGCAAGCAGCAGTCTCTCTGTTTCAGACTTCTTTGCAAGGACTGCCAGTCCTTAAATAGTTTAGAAGGAAATTCCGCATTCTATCAGCTGAAAATGAAGTCTGTCAGGCATATTTTCACTTGGTAGCATGCTTGGACCACTCCAGGGGAATGGGAGAGAAGGAAGCACCTCATCCAGCCCAACAGGCAAAACCACAACTGAACAATGCCTGCCTTCATTAAGGAACATTTGTTGTATGGAAAAAACCAATATCGTGTTTTACTAAGCTCATCTCCCGGCAACACTCCAAACATGAGGGCATTACCAATCGCCTTTCTAATGTGCTTTCAGGGCACTGCCTTTCCTCTGAATGGATGCAACAAGAGCTTCATGCTGCCAGCAGCACCTCTGTCCTACAGAGCACCCAAGCCTAGGTGCACTCATACCCATGTCAAGCCTAAAGACTCTCAGATACATAAGTCCCTTGGCTAGGTGTCAACATGCGCCAAGCAGAGATCATGGATTGATGAAGGGACCAAATACTGCACCGAGGTGCCCTGCAGCACTTCTAATGTCATTCATGATCTCCATAACAGTT